CATAGATATCACCATGCAACTTCACCACTTCATCACTCACATTAAGATCAGTATTTATTGTATTCTGAAAAGTTTCCTGAAATGTTATGTTTAAATATGTAAATGAGGCATTATGTAACGGTAACTTTTGGTGAATTTAGGAGAAATCTACAGACACAAATAGACAAAGTAGTAAAATAAACAGCTGAATGTGTATCTTGGATGTTTTCTTTCCACTCGTCTGAATGAACATGTCATGGAAGAAATATAGAGCAAAAATTGCAAAAATTAACCAGTGCATAAAAAATTTTTTTATTAGGTTTTACGTTAAATTAATCATTCGCTGTCTGATCTGACAGGATGTAGTTTTTTGGATGGATGGATGATAGATGGATAGATGATAGATAGATACTGTATGTGAACTCTGAGTGCAGATATAGTCTTTTAAACCCTCAATATGAAAAAGCAAACTTTCTCTATCTGCATATAATAAAAGCTTTGAATAATGTCCGTGTCTGCTTGCTGGAACTTTAACACTTTGTACTTTTCCTTGTTCGATGTCTTATAATCTGACTTTCTGCATTGCATGATATGTTTGTGCCTCCCTTCACATCTAACAGCAGCAGCTAAAAGTTGACTTTTCTCTCATTCAGGGTCCATTTCCTGGGTCACAGCGACGCCAGCCGATGTGGTGAAGAGCCGATTGCAGGCCGACGCTCAGCTGCAGAGGAAGTACAAAGGGATCCTACACTGCATCGTCCACAGCTACAAGACAGAGGGAGCACAGGTGAGCGGTCGCCTCATGGTGCTGAAAGAGGGTTTGCATTTTAAAAGGTACTTTTCCACAGCTAATGTAAGCTACTGCTTATAGAGGCAAAAATGGAGCTTTTATTCTCAAGTAAAGAAAAGTCACAGCAGCAAAAAGCCGAAGCAAGTTTAGTAAAAACGTGTCATCGGAGTAAAACAAAAGTGAATTCTAAAAAGATACATTTGACAGAAATCAGCATCATATTTAATTCATCATCTAGGTGTCTCCTCCGAAATATCTACAGCTCTTTATGTCAGGAATTCTGAGACGCATTAGAGCCTCAAAAAAGTGCTGTGATGTCGTAAAGACACTGATTATCCTCTTCATGGTATCAGCAGTGGTTTTGTTTGAGGAAACAAAAGAAGAAGAGGCCGTGTTTCACACAGCGGATGCAACATTTTCTCCAGTGTGACTCGTCTTTGCGTCCATCCTCTACGAATTCAAGTGAGGCTTCAAGACTCGACTGATTCAAAAGTACCTGATGAGGTTATGTTAGCTTTATTGAACATTTTACAGTATATCTACTGTAGTGCTGATATACCAACCATGACCTGGCTTCAACAGCATCCTCATGTTGTACTGAGTAGTTCCAATTAATTAATGTATTGTTTTAATTGTAATCGTCCATCCATGATTGCAATTAAAAAGGTATACAAGATATATAAATGTCCTCGGATGTTTTCGCCGTTACCCAGCCCGGCGTTCTGTACCGGCTGCTGTAAATGAAACAGATGGTTTGATCATCGGGAGGTGAAACTGTGTAACCCAGACGAGACTCAAGCAGCGTTCTCAGAACTTGAATCCCCTGAAGTGTACCGCTCAGCTCAGCGACCTTTATTTAAGATCAGGTTACAACACGGCATCACATCTACACATGCAGAATGAAGAACTAACTAGTGACTGATCAGAGTATTTATTCATCAGATGGTTTCATTTACTGGAGAAAACATAGAAATATAGGTTGCTTTGTAATGAAGTCCAGACAAACATCGTTTTTTATTGATCAAGTGAATCAGCTGTAAGGATCAGTACATTTGTTGCGTCAGTGGAAGTCACATCAGGTCAACAGTTGCAACATGGCCGCCCGGCCTAAAGTCAACAACACGTCTTCTGCAACATCCAGGTGTCAGAGGTCACGGTGGTGGTGAGGTGGCAGTATGTAGACAAACTATCCAGATGTCTGACATGGAGACGCGTCAACAAACTCTGTTTTTTGGCAAACAGCTTTGGTGTGATCAATAACGGAGGTCGCTGGGGGACTGGACCTCATGGTCACAGATAGATGGGTCGGGTTATTACTGGACAGAGTAGCAGACTCTACAGACTCTGGCAAGAAAAACAATCAAGGCAATGAACGACACAAAACACTGATGGAGAGTAACTAAAGCCTCTGGATACAACTCTAACATACGATTAACAGCATGAAATATGAAACGTATACAACACATATCGAGCTATAGCTCCAAATACTACAGATGTTATGAATTTGATGAAATATTGATATGATACGCGTTAAAGTTTCGACTGCATTTGATGTGACGTGACCAAGATTATTTTCTCCAGAGAAGAAAGAAGTTTTAAAGAGATTTACATTTTGTATCTACAGGTTGTGAACATTGAGGACTTAATGTCTTCTGCCTTCTCAGCTAAAACATGTGCTTACAGACCAACTGGATCTTTTGATACTGGGTTCATATCGGTTAAGACGCTGTCGCACATAATCAGAAAAGAAAAACTAAACCGATCTTTCTTGTGTTCAGGTTTTCTTCCGCGGAGCGTCGGTCAACGCCGTCCGAGGCTTCCCGATGAGCGCCACCATGTTCCTGACCTACGAACTCTCCCTGCAGTTCTTCAGGAGTTTCTAGGACGGAGGAAACATTTGGGTATTAAACTGGAATCACATGCGACATTTTTTTGGCAAATGAGCAAACAGGCCCCAGTTTCTCTGAGACAACAGATTGGTAGCAGCTGATGCTAACGTGCACTTAACACTTTGAGCTCTCTGATGTAGACGTCGCTGACCTTCTCGCCACTCAAAGATCGATCGTTCATTTTTGGATTGATAATGTTTAAATAGAGTAACTGCTTGATTGAAATTCTAACGTTATGATGATGTGTTCATTTAGTTTTTTGGTGAGAAACTTGAATTATTCCAGTTATTTGAAGGAAATATTCTCACAGCAGTGACTTGTACTTGATGTCGGCCAATATGCAAGTCCAGGTATCATAACTGGTATCAGGAAGGGAAAAAATGGTGTCGGAACACCTCTATAAAGTAGTACTTTAAGTTTTAAATTACTGAGAAATAGGACACCAAAGTCAACTATGTGATCCTGGCTAGTGTACTGAACATTTAGCTTTAATGCTAAAACTTTACCTCACAAGTCCTTCTGGAATCTCTGGGAGATTAGTGATTATTAAAACTACTGAGTTATTATTTTTTGTACTAATACAAATGGCAACAATTGAGTTGCTGAAAGTACCGTCCACACCTTTTAAAATAGACAACTGTACAGTTGTGTGAAAAAGTGTTTGCCCCCTTCCTGATTTCTTATTTATTTGCATGTTTGTCACACTTAAATGTTTCAGATCATCAAACAAATTTAAATATTAGACAAAGATAACACAAGTAAACACAAAATGCAGTTTTTAAATGAAGGTTTTTATTATTAAGGGAAAAAAAAAAATCCAAACCTACATGGCCCTGTGTGAAAAAGTGATTGCCCCCTAAACCTAATAACTGGTTGGGCCACCCTTAGCAGCAACAACTGCAATCAAGCCTTTGCGATAACTGGCAATGAGTCTTTTACAGCGCTGTAGAGGAATTTTGGCCCACTCATCTTTGCAGAATTGTTGTAATTCAGCCACATTGGAGGGTTTTCGAGCATGAACCGCCTTTTTAAGGTCATGCCACAGCATCTCAATCGGATTCAGGTCGGGACTTTGACTAGGCCACTCCAAAGTCTTCATTTTGTTTTTCTTAAGCCATTCAGAGGTGGACTTGCTGGTGTGTTTTGGATCATTGTCCTGCTGCAGAACCCAAGTGCGCTTCAGCTTGAGGTCACGAACAGATGGCCGGACATTCTCCTTCAGGATTTTTTGGTAGACAGCAGAATTCATGGTTCCATTTACCACAGCAAGTCTTCCAGGTCTGAAATGCCGTGTTACTTTTACGCCAGATGTAATGGGACATACACCTTCCAAAAAGTTCAACTTTTGTCTCGTCAGTCCACACAGTATTTTCCCAAAAGTCTTGGGGATCATCAAGATGTTTTCTGGCAAAACTGAGACGAGCATTTATGTTATTTTTGCTCAGCAGTGGTTTTCGTCTTGGAACTCTGCCATGCAGGCCATTTTTGCCCAGTCTCTTTCTTATGGTGGAGTCATGAACACTGACCTTAATTGAGGCAAGTGAGGCCTGCAGTTCTTTGGATGTTGTTCTGGGGTCTTTTGTGACCTCTTGGATGAGTCGTCGCTGCGCTCTTGGGGTAATTTTGGTCGGCCGGCCACTCCTGGGAAGGTTCACCACTGTTCCATGTTTTCGCCATTTGTGGATAATGGCTCTCACTGTGGTTCGCTGGAGTCTCAAAGCTTTAGAAATGGCTTTGTAACCTTTTCCAGACTGATAGATCTCAATTACTTTGTTTCTCATTTGTTCCTGAATTTCTTTGGATCGCAGCATGATGTCTAGCTTTTGAGGATCTTTTGGTCTACCTCACTTTGTCAGGCAGGTCCTATTTAAGTGATTTCTTGATTGAGAACAGGTGTGGCAGTAATCAGGCCTGGGTGTGGCTAGAGAAATTGAACTCAGCTTTCCAAAGATGTGATAAACCACAGTTAATTTATGTTTTAACGGGGGGGGGAATCACTTTTTCACACAGGGCCATGTAGGTTTGGATTTTTTTTCCCCCTTAATAATAAAAACCTTCATTTAAAAACTGCATTTTGTGTTTACTTGTGTTATCTTTGTCTAATATTTCAATTTTTTTTGATGATCTGAAACATTTAAGTGTGACAAACATGCAAAAAAAAATAAGAAATCAGGAAGGGGGCAAACACTTTTTCACACGACTGTATGTATCCTGTAAGGACAGTTGCTGTTGAAATAACGTCCATACGTTCCCTTTACTTTTTAACAAAATGGAACTTAGTTTTAACCGAGACGTGTTGTGACGTGCAAATCACCAAATCGATGCTTTTGGTCATCATCTGGTGTTTGTGGATTATTGTATCATTAAGAAGGGTGTCGTGCTAGATGGACATTTTCAACACAGCCGCATAAAGTTTCAGTTCAGTTTAAATTTACATTTCATTGATTCAAGTGTAATGAGTGCATTGACACGTTTTAGAATATTTCTTTAAACAAAGAATCATATTCAAAACCAGTTGATTTTGCAGTGAATGAACTGCTCTTATGTTGTATTAAGAATGACGCATCCGTCCGTTTCATTCATTGTTGTCTTCCAATGCACATGGACTGTATGTGTGTCTGTAAATATTATCTTTGTGTTTCTTATATTAAGAAAAGGGAGTTTAACGAGTCAATTTTGACTTCACCTTTTTCATTTAATCCCGTGATTCAGCTACTATGAGCTACTGCAGCAAAGCTACATTGTAGAATTACTAATTTGCAGCTTACGATGCCCAAAATAAGTTTCATTGTGAAATGTGATTCACCTGAGACTGAAGAAATCCTCACTCTGAAGGATTAAAAACACATTTACACGAGGAGTCACGGGTCTGAAGACATAAACCAACAGTCGCTTCACATTTTGGAGCAAATACTTTCAGAGAAGTTGTCTTTGCCTGCCTAATAGCTATGCTTTAAATTATTGTCATGTAAATACTTGTAAATATATGAATATACCATTTCAGACAAATGTATTATTGTAAATAAATAAAGCTTTTAAACACGAGTGTTGCTGCTTCTTCTTTCAATGGATACTTCTCAGAATAACGTGACTCGTGTGACTAGCTGTCACGTGTCCATTGCAGCATAAAGATAATGAATTGTTACGAGATAAACTTGATGCTCTCACAGGCGTGACGGCCTGACATTGGCCCACTGCCTGCAGACTGCTGATAAGAGTCTGAGGCTCTGGAACACTGTTATGACTACAGTAATCTGTATGCTCTGTGTTTGTGTACAGTAACTTGAACCTCCCTGTGATGTTAGTGTCCACTAGATGGCAGCGTTTCATTATCTGCCTCAGTTGTTTCTCTGCATTCAAACTGGATGTCCACCGGACAATCCTGTTATATACAGGTGCTGGTCATATAATTAGAATATCAAAAAGTTGATTTATTTCACTAATTCCAATCAAAAAGTGAAACTTGTCTATTATATGCATTCATTACACACAGATATATTTCAAACATTTATTTCTTTTAATTTTGATGATTATAACTGACAACTAAGGAAAATCCCAAATTCAGTATCTCAGAAAATTAGAATATTGTGAAAAGGTTCAATATTGAAGACACCCGGTGCCACACTCTAATCAGCTAATTAACTCTAAACACCTGCAAAGGCCTTTAAATGGTCTCTCAGTCTAGTTCTGTAGGCTACACAATCATGGGGAAGACTGCTGACTTGACAGTTGTCCAAAAGACGCCCATTGACACCTTGCACAAGGAGGGCAAGACACAAAAGGTCATTGCAAAAGAGGCTGGCTGTTCACAGAGCTCTGTGTCCAAGCACATTAATAGAGAGGCGAAGGGAAGGAAAAGATGTGGTTGAAAATAGAGAGGCGAAGGGAAGTAAAAGATGTGGTTGAAAAAAGTGTACAAGCAATAGGGATAACCGCACCCTGGAGAGGATTGTGAAACAAAACCCATTCAAAAATGTGGGGAGATTCAGAAAGAGTGGACTGCAGCTGGAGTCAGTGCTTCAAGAACCACTACGCACAGACGTATGCAAGACATGGGTTTCAGCTGTCGCATTCCTTGTGTCAAGCCACTCTTGAACAACAGACAGCGTCAGAAGCGTCTCGGACTGGACTGCTGCTGAGTGGTCCAAAGTTATGTTCTCTGATGAAAGTAAATTTTGCATTTCCTTTGGAAATCAGGGTCCCAGAGTCTGGAGGAAGAGAGGAGAGACACACAATCCACGTTGCTTGAGGTCCAGTGTAAAGTTTCCACAGTCAGTGATGGTTTGGGGTGCCATGTCATCTGCTGGTGTTGGTCCACTGTGTTCTCTGAGGTCCAAGGTCAACGCAGCCGTATACCAGGAAGTTTTAGAGCACTTCATGCTTCCTGCTGCTGACCAACTTTATGGAGATGCAGATTTCATTTTCCAACAGGACTTGGCACCTGCACACAGTGCCAAAGCAACCAGTACCTGGTTTAAGGACCATGGTATCCCTGTTCTTAATTGGCCAGCAAACTCGCCTGACCTTAACCCCATAGAAAATCTATGGGGTATTGTAAAGAGGATGATGCGAAATGCCAGACCCAACAATGCAGAAGAGCTGAAGGCCACTATCAGAGCAACCTGGGCTCTCATAACACCTGAGCAGTGCCACAGACTGATCGACTCCATGCCACGCCGCATTGCTGCAGTAATTCAGGCAAAAGGAGCCCCAACTAAGTATCGAGTGCTGTACATGCTCATACTTTCCATGTTCATACTTTTCAGTTGGCCAAGATTTCTAAAAATCCTTTCTTTGTATTGGTCTTAAGTAATATTCTAATTTTCTGAGATACTGAATTTGGGTTTTCGTTAGTTGTCAGTTATAGTCATCAAAATTAAAATAAATAAACATTGGAAATATATCAGTCTGTGTGTAATGAATGAATATAATAGACAAGTTTCACTTTTTGAATGGAATTAGTGAAATAAATCAACTTTTTGATGATATTCTAATTATATGACCAGCACCTGTATAGTATGTCAAAAAAGTCATAAAGCAGTATGTCGAAAAAAGTCATAGCATAGTATGCAGAGAAAAATAATAAAGTTACAGTAGAGTATGTTGAAAAAAGCCAAAAAAGTCATAGTATAGTAAGACGCCATTGACAGGCGACCACATGAAACGGGTTAATAACTTGATTCAAATGAAGGATTTCTAAACTGTTTATTACTAAAAAGTCATTGTAGTCTTTAAAATAAAATCCAAATATTTAAGCATACAAAATATGAACAAAATTCCTAAAATTACAAAGTAGCAGCTTTAATCTTTCAGCTGATTTGAATAGAAATGACTCTGGAATATACACCTGAACATAAATATTTGGGAAATACTTTTGATGAATTTATGACCTTTGAAGATGGAATTAAAATCTCGGCAGGTTCAGAAAGTTACTCGCTGGATCTGAAGAGAAATGGTTGAAAGATTTCTCTGTAGAAAACCAAGCTTATGAACCTGTTCTCTAATGAAGCGCAGTTATGGCACAGCATTCTACATTCTAGCAAAAGTATGAAGGAGTCAAAGGTCTGTAGTTTCCAGAAGGAAAACGTGTGAATTATGCAAATTAGGAGTTGAGAATTAATCACATTTTTGTCCTCGTGGTGAGTTAAGAATGTCTTTATCAAACGAATGTCCAGAATCCAGAAATGTTCTGGTGCACCGACGCAAAATA